CAAGTTGGTGTCTGCGTTTGGAGTTTGGTGTTTCAGAGGTAGAGATTGGGTGGTTTAAAGATAGGAATGAAGGGGAAGGAAGTAACTGAGAGAGGAGATAGAAAGAAATGGAGAAGCTAAGAAAAAGAAAACTTGAGTTCTTCTGAATTTGTTTGGATAATTTTACCAATTTGTTGGGTTCTTCTTCTTATGATATTACTCTGTCTTGTAAGCTAATTATTATAGATTTTTATGGACGATTGATTATGTAAAATTTCATATCTATCTTATATCCAAATTGGATGATATTCAACTTAGCAAAAGCTATGCATGTTCTTTGATTCAAGGATGTAATATGTTCTTCACAGAATCAGCCGAGAGTCGCACTTATCTTAAGTCCGTTAAAAAAAGGGCTCGCGAACAAGGCCATACGAATTGCGGGTTATGCTCGTAAATTGGAAGGTCGGCTTGTGGGCTACAAAAATTTGATTTTTAATAAATGTAATTATAAAAAAAATATAATTACAAAATACAATATGTGAAAAGTGATTTTTGTAACGAATTTTATGTTTTAAAATTAAAATATTTATAAATAGAGAATTTCAAAGTTATTTTAAATTTTAAAATTGGTAATTAATTTTTAAAAAATAAAATTATATTTTTATTTATTTTTAAACTATTAAATAGAGGTCTGTTGGCCGATCCGCTAGTTCGTTGGGCTTAGCGGAATGAGATTGGACATAGGTTTTTTGTCCGCAGTCCTAGCGGACCGGCCCGTCATGGTCCAAAGAAAAATAATGCCCATCTCGGACAGTCCTAGATAGACGCGGACCGGCCTGTTTAACACATGTAGCTGTAGAGGAGAAATAGTACTTGAATTAACCCCTTAATGGTAAATCCTTTTATTCACCACATGTAAAAAAAAAGAAATATAATTGACATATAGTAATAGTAACGTAAACATTTTTATCTTCTCAATTCCAATTCGTCCTATAAGGACAGTTAATCTGGTAACAGCTAAAACCAGGACCAGTCGCTCGTGGAGATAGTCATAGAGATGAAAAGGGTTTTGTCTCTCGTAACAACCATGGTGATAGTAGTGTTATACTTGCTTCTTCTAGCTTCATCTCGAGTTGGAAAATGCAGCCATGATTACAGCAGGAGGAGTGATTTCCCGGAGAGCTTTTCTTTCGGAGCGGGGATATCTGCTTATCAGGTACGTAAGACCGTAAGACCAATTCTTTGTTTTTCTTCGTATAGCTTTGAAACTTGTACGATTGGTTTTCTCAAAGTGGGAAGGAGCTGTTGATGAAGATGGGAGGAAGCCTAGCGTTTGGGATACTTTCCTTCACTCTCGTAAGACTTTTTTCCAATCTTTGGTCTTTGGATTTTAGACTCGTAATGGGTTTTCTGGGTTACCGTTCATATTTCGGTTTTAGAAAAACTAAAAATTAGTTTAATTCGATTTGGTTATATTTGGTTTTATGGTTTTATGATTTATCGCTTTGAAAAGAACTGAAAATATTCAAAAACCATATGCAATTCATTGCGGTTCAGTTGAAGTAAACAGTAAACCAACAACCGGTGGTAATTAGATCTCGAACTTTTGTTTCAGGACAAAATTAGTTTAAAATTTTCATTTCACGGAGAAAAAAGAATCAAACTTTTTTTTTCTAGGAAATATACTTTGGGATCAAAGCTCGGGCTCTATCTACCTTAATACGATAGTTCTTAGGGGATATAACTCATTTTCCCATATAAACTAGACTAGTTGTATTCTAACATAATATATATCTTTTGAAAGAGTTTTTTTTTTAATCTTGTTTGCTCCCATACACTTGGCAGGTAAGATGGATAATGGAGACATAGCTTGTGATGGATATCACAAGTACAAGGTTCGTTCTCTCATACATGTACTTTATATATATGTACATCATATACGTGTCGACTAAATCATTCACGTTAAGCTATTAACTACCACCGTTTTGACATATGTTGATTTTGGCTAATTTTATATAGTTTAGATTGGGAATTTGAATTTTTAGTGAGTTTTGGTTGATTTTTGCCGAGTATTATAACATAGGTATAAAAACGCTGCCAGCAAATAGTCTAAGTTGATTTTTGCAGGTTTCCCTCCCAACATATGTCAAAAATAATATAATAACATATTTGGGTTTTGGCTTTAAAATCTTTCACCGCAAATCTAAATAGAAAACAATTAAAATCTAGAAAATTTTGATTTTCTTTTTTGACTCACACAGCCAAAATATTTTTGTAACAATTTTTTGGCGGTGCAAATCACTTTTTCTTAAAGCACATAATTTTAATTTTAAAAAAATTTTAATTTACACAGCCGAAACAGTATAATAAGAAAATCTACAATTATAGCAAACTAATGTATAGCTTCAAATGTCAAAAGTCTAAAGGTACCACCGTAACCAATCAGGCCTATTATCTCCAGGAAAAAATCCTAAAAGCAAGCTCGTATTATTTTTCTTAGGATGTTTAGGACCTAATGGTTTCTGAATGAAAAAAAAATACACATAATATACCATTCCCGTCGCTAACAAGAACTACTCCTTTGTATCGAGGAGGAGGAACTCAAGTCTTTGGATGGAGTTAGCGGTTCCTGCCGCATGTTGAGGCCTCATCCCGCCGTTTCCTGGAGCTTTCTCCCGGAATAGATTATGCTGCGACCTCCGAGACCCTATCCCTTGCTTCCTCTACCTAGCAAGATGAGTGAACACGAAATCGAACCGCCCCTTTCCGATTTTGCTCACCATTGAGCCTTTCGAGAAAACCAATCCTTAATCTGGTGAAGCGAATCCAAATCATGGCGACTGAAGACGGTTGATGGCTCAAACAACCCTTCAGCTCTTGATCTCCATGACTAACCATCTAGGATTTTCCAAGATCCACAGTCAATCTCTTCACAAGCAGCAAACCCACCAATCTAGATCTCGACTTTTCGCCGCTTCTCAAAGCCAAACCATTAGCCGCGGAGCCATGAGTAGCCACATTAAACTCCTGCCAGTGTTATCGTGCTAATTAACAAGACCAGAGCCATGAAGGAGAAGCAACTCAAACCACGATGAAAGAAGCCTCCAAGATGCATTGAGACCAGATCTACCACACCAAAAGCCGCCGGAGAGGAGAGGAAGCCCACCTCTGCAACAGTGTTCGACCTAAAAGAGCCGCCGTTGATAATCAGAGAACAAAGAGAAAAAAGTAAGGGGATGGCCAAGACGAACTGTTGGGGAGAGAGTAGCCGCTCAAAGGCTTGGTTCGATCATCAACGAGTTAAGAGTTACCGTCATTACAAAATCATGGCTAGAGAAATATTGGTGGTCAAAAAATTGTATGAGACAAAAGGTCTACTCGGGGAAGTAGTCGCAGTGTCTGCGACTGGGATAAGAAAACCCCTTTAGGGCAACATTATAGGGGGTATCTTAGAAGACTAAGATATCTAAATGTTGGTCTTATATTTTGTTTAAATCTTCTTCATTTCTGAGATTTCAGTATAGTGGGAGTCGTTGGAATCAATAGCGACATTACACATGCTTTAATTTTGATGTTGCGAGTGTCACAAGTTTTAAAACTCATTCACATATCGACGGGGAAAAATATGTACAGTGATATTGTAAACTAAAAATAAAAATTAAATTCAGGATTTATTGAAAATTACAATAAACCCCTTTAAGAAGCTTTTAATTACAATATAATGTTGGCTATAAATCAGTCGCACGATCACAAAAAGAACACCGCCATAGCTCTCGTCTTCTTAAATCACCACTTCCTTGTAAACCATTTCTGCCGCCGTTGGAGAGATAGTCAATGTGATTCCGATTTCATAAGTTTTCAAGAAAACCGATAACTTTTTTAAAGAAAAATAAATAATTAATTAAGATTATAGGGATAAAATTAAAATTTTAATTTTGTTGCAAAATTGTGGACATAAAAATAACAACTCTTACTTCTATCGATTTTAAATTATTATTACATGTAATTTTATTCCAATTAAAATTTATTATGTACTATATTAAACATCCAAATAAAAATAATTCCCTTTTTTTTATCTTTTAATGCAATTTGTCTTAAAAACCACATAAAAAAAAAAAATCTGAAACATTACCTTTTTTTTTTCTTTCTTTCTTTGACAATGATTATCTGTTAATATACATAGAATATATTTTTATCTATAATTGGAATTGTCTTAGAAACGACAATAAGTCAGGAAACAACTCAAACCAGGGACAGTCGCTGGTGGAGACAGAGATGGAAAGGGTTTTGTCTCCAGTAATCATGATGATAGTGTTGCTTCTTCTATCTTCGTCTGGAGTTGGAAAATGCAGCAATTCTTACAGCAGAAGTGATTTCCTAGAGAGCTTCGCTTTCGGAGCAGGGATATCTTCTATTCAGGTAAGACCTTAAGACCTTCTCCTTAATGTTTTCTAATTCTATGGTATAGCTTTTAAGTTTTGTCGGTTTTGTCAAAAGTGGGAAGGAGCTGTTGATGAAGACGGGAGGAAGCCTAGCGTTTGGGATACTTTCGTTTACTATCATAAGGCCTTTTTCCATCTTTGGTCTTTTGGTTTAGGGGTGGGCGTTCCGGTTTACCGTTCACATTTTTCGGTTTTACTATTTATCGGTTTAATAAAAAAGTAAAACTTAAGGGATATTATTGGTTTATTGATTTGTATATCCATATAGGATTTGTGAATCTTATTATTTACGAAATCAAAATACATGGATTTTGAAATACATGTTTTATCCTTGGATTTCAATCCTTTTTTTTACACTATCAAATCATTTCAAATCTATTTAAAACATATTGCGAATTTTAAAATCCAAAAACAAACCACTAAACGAATAACATAGGCTTTCAACTAGTATTTATAAATCATACAACTAATAACACATGATTCTGATAATTATTTCAAAATCAATGATTAAGTAACATATGATTTTTGTTTGGATTTCTAAATCCGTTAAATTCCATGAACCAATAACCCCCCTTTAGTTTAAGAATTCTTATGTAATCCGAAACTTTCTAGTTCAATTTCACTCATTTTCAGAGAATCCATACATATTGAACCGTATATAACATCTGCATCATAAAAACTGAAACTTTCTAGTTCAATTTCACTCTTATTCAGAGAATCCATACAAACACTCTCCAAATTGCTCAGATTCTGAGAATCCAAACCAATTTCATCTATTTCTCACTTCTTATATGTTTTGAGCTAAAAGGGTTAACTTCAGAATTTGGAAATAAGAATAAAGGAGTGACCTTTTTAGGGACGTTGTAGTCAATGATGAAGAATCCAGGTTTCTCAACGGCGAGAAAGAGACCGTTCAAGCTAGGGCCGACGACGAGGGCAGCATCAGTCATGGTGGCGCGTAGCTTAACATTACCGGCGTTGAAGGCAAGAGAAGCAGTGCCACTGCTCTTGTCAACATCGAACTTTCCCTTAAAAGAAGCCTTCATCGTCATCACACGATAGCCGCCGCTTCCGAGTATTTTTCTCGTTGACCCTCTCTCTTAAAACATGTTCTAATGTTGGGGGTATTTTCTAAAGAATTTACAATTTTTTCAAAATTCAATTTGATTTCAAAAATTACTTTTAAATTAGTCCTGCCAACCTAAACCGAACCAAACCAAACTAAATATATACGGTATACACTAACATATTAAGGAAAATCGACCATTTCATACCTTACCTATACTACTATTTTCAATTCCTACCTCATGTTTCATGTTGTGCACAATCAAATAAGCAAAACATCTAATAAACAACCTAAACTCGTTAATTTGTGCTAATCTATACCAAAGTAGAGACGGGGATGCTTATGTGGACGCCACATGTGAAACGACGTCGTTTTTGTTTCACGACAAAGACCAAAAAAGAGAAGTTAAACGACGTCGCTTAACTCATCTTCTTCCTTCTTGATTTTTAAAAATTGATTTGAGATTCTTTTTTTTTTCAACCACACATTAATTAAAATAATACACCATGATTGGTTGCCCAATCAGCAGAGAAATCGTTTACAAAAGTAACTTCCGAATCAAGTGATCTGGAAGATCGAGCAAGACAGTCTGCTTTAGAATTACAAGAACGAGAAATCTTAGTTAACAAAAATGTGGGAAATAACGCATGTAATCGAAGGAAATCATCTAAGGGGATAAAGAATGCTGGCCACTCTTGATGGTCCTGCACCATTGCGATAAGCTCGGCATAATCAGTTTCAAAAGTATGACAGTCAATCCATCTTAAAAGAATACTCTCCATAGCCCATATAAGTGCTTCCAATTCAGAGTGAAGTGGTGACTGACATCCTCTAAGACACTTAGCACCTAGTAGATACGTCTGCTCTTCACCCCTGAAACACCACCATCCCAGGCCAGAAAAAGGATCTCCCAACTTCCACGAACCATCGATTCGACATCGAAGGATTGGCGAAGGGGTAGATATATCTTCTGGTGGTCCAGTTACTTCAGCCGGTATAATATGTGCCTCTTCCCAAATTAATTGCTCACTTAGGGCCTGGTTAATAATATCTACCGGTTCTGACTGGAATCCTTGGAACACTTTTTTGTTTCTATCCTTCCATATAAACCATAAAATCCATGGGAACAAATGTTTTTTCTCCTTTTCCCTCAAAAGAGGGATCACACTCTAAAATATAAAATCCAGATTCGCGAATCTCGAATTATAAGGAAAACCTCCTGGTACTATCGGAATTGTCGACAAGTCCCAAATTCGCCTTGATTGTGAACAATCGAAAAGCGCATGATTGATCGTCTCAACTTCAGAACTACATTTTTTGCATATTATATCACATTGAATCTTGCGATAGGCTAAGCGTTCCATGACCGGAAGTGTACCAGTGGCTACTTGCCACATAAAGTGTTTGATTTTTAGTGGAGCTCGAATATGCCATGCATACGCCTTCAAGGCAGTATAGTTTGGATACACTTCTGCCTTCTCTACCTCATTTATCGCCAGCCAGTATCCCGATTTAACCGTATACTTTCCGGATTTTGTATAATGCCATATCAATCGGTCTGGCTTATAAGTTTTACTTATAGCCATGCCTTTAATGATACGGATATCCTCCGGATTCATAAATTCCTGGAGGATGGGTAAATGCCACTTCTTACTCCATTTGAGATTTTAGAAAGGGGGAAAGTTAAGTTTCTGGGATTTTAATAATCGAGTTGGAGATTTCATAAGTGTTGATCAAGATGTCTTCATCAGCTTCTTCAGAGATTTTAGTAATCGAGTAGGGGAATTCATCACCGAAAACATACGGACCCGTTAGGATATTTCTATATTTTTTTTTATTTCGGATCCGATATTTCTATTTCTTTTACAAGGATTTTTAAAATGTTTTTTAAAAGATTTATAAAATTCTTTTATAAAGATTTACAAAGTTTCTTAAGGGTTTTAAAAGTTAATAATTGTTATTAAAGGGTTTTAGAAGTTAATAAGGAGTTTTAAAGTGTTTACAAAGGTTTTTATTTTTTTTTAAAAAGGGTTTCATCAAAACTAGTACTCTTAAGTGATTTGAGTTTAATTGAGTTTTTATATGATTTAGATGATTTTAAGAAAGTTCATATGATTTATTATAAAATATTTTAAAATCTTACATAAATTCATGACATTTTTAGATTTTTTATTTTCTAACTAAAGAAATCCTCTCAAATCTTTCAAAATAATAAAAAATAAAATCCACAAACTTCCCTAAAAGAATTTGAAAAGATTTTACAATAATCATATACCTAAAAATCATCATAACCATTTAATATTTTTAAATAAATTTAAGTTAAATTTTCACATTCGGATATTATGTCTAGATTTATTATAAAAGCAACTTTGTAATTTATCAAATGAGAATAAAGAGCCAGCTTTATTTTATACATTTTCAACCTTTTGAGGTAGGTATAACTCATGTTTTCTAAGAAAATATATCACAATTCATAAAATAGTAACTAATATATTAGATTTACTTATAAACTATTTTAGGCACTATGATAAATGTTAATAACACAAATTCACGAAAACATATTTCCATTAAATATAAAACTTTCAAAAGTATAATAATATACAAATCTCACATCTAATCAGTTTACTAAAAATTAACTAAATTAAAAAACTTCATGTATATCATAATACTCTATAGTATCAAACGTGTATATCAATAACACATACACCATTATGATACGTGCCTACGTGCCCTACTAGTGATAATTCAAAAACATGCAACGTCCTTTCACATAAAAACCGGTTTAGTAATTTATTAATTAATTTTTGTGTAGTTGGCTTTGGATTCGGTTCAACTTTAAATTTAAGCAAACAAAGACCCCGCGTGCTTGTGTTTGGTTGGGACGTGAGACAAGAGACAAGAGACAAAGACAACTTCTCAGTTTTTTACTTTTGCCAACTTACACAATTCACGTTTTTATTATTTTCTGGTGTATTTTTTGTATTCAATTCTTTTGCTTTGGAAACTGTTCTTAAATTATTTTATTGACTTTTTATTTAAAACCAAATTTCCAGTCTTTTAATTTCATCTTTTCCCATTTGTTGATTTTTAATTTTGTCAGTTTTTTAAATGTTTGATTAAATGTGATTTTTTTTCATTCTTATATATATGTTATTACTGTGATGATGATGATAATAATAATATAATCTTGCGGATTCTATTCTCATTTGGTTTGTGTGCTTCTCTTCGCTTTCCTCAATTCTCATCTTCCTCTTCTTCTCTCTCGAGAAACAAAAGTGGTTTGGTTTCTTTCTCTCTTCTCTTTGTTTTTTCCTTTTCTCCTCAAATCAGTTTCCTCTTTCATTGGTCTTTCTTATTTATTTTAAGCGTTTCTTCTCAAATCTCAACCAAAACCTTCTCAGATCGATTGAATTTGGTGGGTTGTTGTTTTTTTTTCTTCTTATATTTGTGTGTTTTTGTTCATTGTTATGTCAAATTGAATCTTTCTCTTTGGAGGGTATGATGAAAAATCGAGTCTTTGAATGGATCTCTCTCTGTTTTGTTTAGTTCTGGTCTGATTTCTCTATGAAAAGTTTTGTTCTTTGTTTTGTCTTGGCGGCTTTGATAACCAATAGGGGCTTTGGTTTGTTTGATTACGAGTAATGTTTCTTGTTCCTCATGTAGCTGTGCTGGTTCTTTGATACGAGACTTTGTAAAAGTTTTGATCTTTGTCTTGTTTGGTGATGCTGTTCTTGTTGTGGTTTGTGTTAATTGATTTCATTAGCTATATAGCTTATGTCTGTTGCAAGTGCCATTGATTGTAATAGGTTTCTTGATTTTGGAGATTAGGTGTTAAGTTGAAAGTGTGGATTTTGTAATCTGATTGATTAAGTAGAAGGCTTGGATAATGTAGTTGGTTTTGTGGTCTTGAGATTAGACATTGCTTTTGCTTTAGTAACTTGAATTGCTCAATTGCTAATTTCTTTGGCTGAGTGAGAACCCCTTTTGTTCTTCAATGCGACTGCAATTGTCTTTGTTATTGAAAGATATTTTCGTTTCTCCTTTTTATTGTAGTTTCCAGCATTGGCTACAGGGGAAAGTGGTGAGAGTTTCTTGAATTGTCAAGTGTTAACAACGCTAGGATGCAGGGAGAGAGGGCTAGTCTCGGTTCTTTATCAGAGGCTTTGAACTTTGAGCATGGTTCTACATCTAGTAATGCTGTGATAGATCAGCAAATTCGTTGGGAGAATAGTCACAGTTATGATAATAGATTGCGGGATTTCATGATTTCAAATACTAATACGAATCCTACTACTGCAAATTCCGTTTATCATGAGCAACGCGACTTACACAGGTTTAACATTGGGGAGGCTAGCTCTAGTGGTACGAAGAACGATGTCACTAGTCATACTGAACAATGGAAGGGTATTGGACGTTTAGAGGAACATAGAAATGACCAGCTTGAGTTGAGCCCTTTGTTTCTGCTACCATCTAGTGGCAATTGTGCTGTTCGGAATGTCAATCTTAATGCAGAATATAATGAGCATCTTGAGGATATGAATCAGGTCACAGGTCATCCTGGTCTTTTTGAGGATAATGGACTCAGGTCTAGGCTTATCCCAGATAACAGTGTTACTGTGGGTTCCTCTGTAGATGGGCGTCGTGCATGTTTTAAAAGAAAAGCTCTTGATGCAAGCATTGGTCAGTCTTCTTCAAGCGGAGCTTTCCGTGAGTTCCAGCGTGGAGAATCAAGTTCTAGGATCTCAGCTCCTTCGGATTATAGCCCAGTAATGGCAACAACTCAACTAAATATATCTCTTGATCATGGTCGAAGGGGTTTGGTATCTGGTGCTGTTCCAAATCAATCTACTCCTACCATCACAGAGAGCTCTAGTAGAAATTACTCTATCCGGGTTAATCCCACCGATCAACAAGAAACTGTAAGCCCATCGGTCTTTGCTGCAGGAAGTGTTCTCAGACGACCGGTTGTTCCATCCTTGAACTCAC